TTATTATATATTATAATATTTTTTTTAAATATATTTAAATATATATAATTTTTTTTTAAATTAAATTGTGTAAATATATGACACGTGCTCTTGGGAGATTCGAAGAGAAATTTTCAAGATTGGTTTGGGTGAATTTGGTAGGGGGTGCAAAAGAAGAAAATTAAAGGGTGAATAAGGAAAGAATAAGGGTTAAAGGGATCAAAAAAGAAATTTGGTGATGAAAAAATTTAATAAAGATTGGGGGGAAGGGGAGTATGGAGGAGGTGAACGTATTTGATATTTGGGAGGGGAAAGTTTTTTAGCGGGGTGGGTCCATGAAAGATGAAAGGGGAAACAAAGAATTTATGAGGGAAAAAGAGTGAGTGGTGGGACCCTTTGGATCGTGGAGGGCAAAAACTTTGTCCTTGGAGGCAAAAGGGGGAAAGTATGGAAATAATAGTTTTCCAACGCTCTTATATGGGTGTGAAGCCCTTGGGGAATTTAAGGGTTTCAGCGAGGAGAAGGCTGGAGGGAGTGGGGATGCATGTTCCCGAGGGCAATGTGTGGTGTGGAAAAATAATGCAGAGGGAAATTTGTATTTGGGAAATTTTGGGAGGAGGGCGGGGTTACCAAAAAATGTTTTCCGAGGGCCCCGAGGAAGGGGTTTTTGAGGTGGGTTTGGGCAGTAGAAGAATTGGGAGCGAACAGGAAAGAATTCAAAGTGTAAAACAGTCCCGTAGTGGAAGGAAGGCGGGGTAGGGGGCGGCCCAGGGAAGGGGTTTGGGGGGAGGGGGGGAAAAGGGGGTTTTGTGTGCAGGGGCTTGGGGCTTTCCCCAGCTGCTTGAGCGTGTTTTGGGTAGTTTGAATGGGGGCAAATGGTTTTTTAAAAACTTGCGTGGGGTTGGAGTGTTTAGCAAAGTAACATTTTAAAAGAAGGGAAATTTAAAGGGAAAAAGGGAGGCCGGACTTGAGTCCTGGAGATGGGGAATACAGTGCCGCACTCCCGAAGGAGGGGTTTTAATGTTGCAAATTTAAAAATGTAGTGTTAAAACACCCTTCGGCAAACAGTGATGGAGTGAATTATGGGAAAGTTTTTCTTTTTTGGGCCCCCTGTTGGTGGGAAAACGGCCGGGTGGATAATAAAAAAAAAAAAATATATAATATATATTAAAAAATATACATATATAATAATAATATTAATATATTATATATTATATTTATATAAAAATATATATATATATAATATAAAATATTTATTATACACAATTTTGTGCCTCTGTAATGTTTAGGGGGAAAGGTTTCCCCGACCCCATTTTGTGAAAACTGTAAAAATTGAGGTTAAAAATTTCCCGGACCCAAATTTTTGCATCTGTAATGTTAGGAAAAGTCCCCCAAAACCAATTTTGTGATACTAAAAATAATGGGGTTACCCGCCCTTGGGCCCATTATATGCCTTTTGCAATGTTTAGGCACAGTCGGGCCCCTTTTGTGACACGTAAAAGTTGAGGTAAAAGGGCCTTTGGGCCCATTATTGTCCCGTAATGTTGGGGGTATAGTCCCCGGACCCATTTTAAACCTCTGTAATCTTATAACTATCACCCCCCCCCCAGGGGTGGGCATGGGGGACCACTTTAAACTTTCTCCATAAAAACAAATATGATGTGGAAGGGAAAAGGGTCTGAGGCAAGCCCCTATTTTTTGTTAAAAAACCCCCATCCTTTTATGAACACCCCGTAATTTTGTGCCAAAGGAAAAAACAGCAAATTTTTTAAAAAGCATTCACCATCCCCCCAATGAAAAGCCCGGGGGGTCCCCCTAGCACGTTAAGAGCCCAAAAACAATAAGTGTCAGGGGCCCCCAAAACTGTTCAACTGCCTCCCAGAACATAAGGGGGTTTAAAAACAGACCCCGGCCGTCTTCAAACTGGGATGGCAAAGCACCCCAAAGTCATTCCTTTATCACCGGGCTTGGGTCGTAAAGTTGGTTTGCGTGCAGCCAGCAGCAACGCCTGGTTGATCAGGGGCTGATCCCCCCGGAGGCCGGGCCAAAACCGGGCCGCGGGGGGGTTGACCCCCAAACTCTCTCCAGGTTTAAAACCCCGGTAAACAAGGGCCTATGTACATGTTGATATTCCTTTTATGAAAGGGAAGTGACACATGCATGCACATGGGTTACTAGGTGAGTACCACACACACACCATTGTGTGTTGTGCGGGAAGAGGGGTGCGGAGCTATGGCTCGCCCCCGCAATCACAATTAGGTGAATAAAACACACAATGCATGTACCAAAACATAAGAGACACTACCAAAACAGAAAAAAAAAGAGGAACCACAAGACTGGACCTAGTATTCACCTTGACCAGTGTAGATATTGAGGGCATCACATATGAAAGACCCCCTCGGGGGGCCCGTGAGCATGTATTCTGAGGGTTTTAAACAACAGTAGAGTTACAAGTGGAAGGGGAAAGCAGGGGAAGGGGAAGCAAAAGAAAAACCAAAAAAACAAGAGAGGGGACTACAAGGCAGAAGGGAATTTTTCCGCAAAGGGGTACAGTGGGAAAAGAAATGGCAGTTTAAGTCAGTAAATTTAATGATGGAATTTTGACAAAAAATATGAAGGAAGCTGAGGAGAGGTTTGTACCTAAGGGGAACAGAAATAATGGAGAAAGTAGGGTGAACCCTTTTGGTTTACCCAAAGGTGAAGAGACCCAAAAACCCAAGTGGGATAGAGAATATGAAGATGACATGTGTAAAAAAACCCAAAACTTTAACCCCAGGCTGCTCTAAAAGCCACATCAGGAGGAAAAAAAAACAGTCAAGGGCCAGGTAACCAGGGGTGGGAAAAGGGAAAGGGGAGGAAGTCACAAAAATGATCACGGAGTATGTAAGGAGACCAGTGCTATTTTTGGTATATGTGAACATGATGGAAGGGTTAGACTCAGAAGTGTCCCTGTTTGCAGATGATGTGAAGTTAATGAGGAGAATTAAATCAGATGAGGACCAGGCAGGACTTCAAAGAGACCTGGACAGACTGGACACCTGGTCCAGCAAATGGCTTCTCGAATTTAATCCTGCCAAATGCAAAGTCATGAAGATAGGGGAAGGGCAAAGAAGACCACAGACAGAGTATAGGCCAGGTGGCCAAAGACTGCAAACCTCACTCAAGGAGAAAGATCTTGGGGTGAGTATAACACCAAGCATGTCTCCGGAAGCACACATCAACCAGATAACTGCTGCAGCATATGGGCGCCTGGCAAACCTGAGAACAACATTCCGATACCTTAGTAAGGAATCGTTCAAGACACTGTACACCGTGTATGTCAGGCCCATACTGGAGTATGCAGCACCTGTTTGGAACCCGCACTTGTTAAAGCACGTCAAGAAACTAGAGAAAGTACAAAGGTTTGCCACAAAGTTAGTTCCAGAGCTAAGGGGAATGTCCTATGAAGAAAGATTATGGGAAATCGGCCTGACGACACTGGAGGACAGGAGGGTCAGGGGAGACATGATAATGACATATAAAACACTGCGTGGAATAGACAAGGTGGACAAAGACAGGATGTTCCAGGGAGGGGACACAGAAACAAGAGGCCACAATTGGAAGTTGAAGACACAAATGAGTCAGAGAGATATTAGGAAGTATTTCTTCAGTCATAGAGTTGTCAGGCAGTGGAATAGCCTAGAAAATGACGTAGTGGAGGCAGAAACCATACACAGTTTTAAGACGAGGTTTGATAAAGCTCATGGAGCGGGGAGAGAGAGAGGGCCCAGTAGCAACTGGTGAAGAGGCTGGGCCAGGAGCTTAGACTCGACCCCTGCAACCACAAATAAATGAGTACACACACACACACACACACACACACACACACACACACACACACACACACACACACACACACACACACACACACACACACACACACAAAGGTTGAGTGACACAAAGAAGATAGCACATTCACTATCACTCAATAATTCTCATGCTGCCACAAGTAATCTTACATAGTAAGAGCAGAGGTAATAATGATCTTACTTAGTAAGAGCCAAGGTAATAATGATCTTACTTAGTAAGAGCCAAGGTAATAATGATCTTACTTAGTAAGAGCCAAGGTAATAATGATCTTACTTAGTAAGAGCCAAGGTAATAATGATCTTACTTAGTAAGAGCCAAGGTAATAATGATCTTACTTAGTAAGAGCCAAGGTAATAATGATCTTACTTAGTAAGAGCCAAGGTAATAATGATCTTACTTAGTAAGAGCCAAGGTAATAATGATCTTACTTAGTAAGAGCCAAGGTAATAATGATCTTACTTAGTAAGAGCCAAGGTAATAATGATCTTACTTAGTAAGAGCCAAGGTAATAATGATCTTACTTAGTAAGAGCCAAGGTAATAATGATCTTACTTAGTAAGAGCCAAGGTAATAATGATCTTACTTAGTAAGAGCCAAGTTAATAATGATCTTACTTAGTAAGAGCCAAGGTAATAATGATCTTACTTAGTAAGAGCCAAGGTAATAATGATCTTACTTAGTAAGAGCCAAGGTAATAATGATCTTACTTAGTAAGAGCCAAGGTAATAATGATCTTACTTAGTAAGAGCCAAGGTAATAATGATCTTACTTAGTAAGAGCCAAGGTAATAATGATCTTACTTAGTAAGAGCCAAGGTAATAATGATCTTACTTAGTAAGAGCCAAGGTAATAATGATCTTACTTAGTAAGAGCCAAGGTAATAATGATCTTACTTAGTAAGAGCCAAGGTAATAATGATCTTACTTAGTAAGAGCCAAGGTAATAATGATCTTACTTAGTAAGAGCCAAGGTAATAATGATCTTACTTAGTAAGAGCCAAGGTAATAATGATCTTACTTAGTAAGAGCCAAGGTAATAATGATCTTACTTAGTAAGAGCCAAGGTAATAATGATCTTACTTAGTAAGAGCCAAGGTAATAATGATCTTACTTAGTAAGAGCCAAGGTAATAATGATCTTACTTAGCAAGAGCCAAGGTAATAATGATCTTACTTAGTAAGAGCAGTTGTTATCATGTCTCTCATCTTGGTGCTTGGTGTCACCAACATTGTGGTGGTGTCCGAGTGGCACCCTGGGACTGACACCTCCAGTGCCAACTCCACGTTCTCCCCCTTACTGTAGTTCTCCACTGTAAGAAAGAAAAAAATATTATTAATATTATTTCGAGTTTTATTATTTCACTCATCACTCAAGAACGCTTCATCCAATCAAATTAAAATTCTCGACGCTGGTGTAAGTACCCAGGGTAACATCCTAGCAACACTTGGCGTGTGTATCCACACTATGAACAGGGTTGTTGAATGCATTCCCAGAACCAACAATGGTTCCAATGACTTGCAAAACCCTCTGCAGTGGCTAACACTCCCTACCCAGGATTATCCTGGGTGGCTAACACTACCTACCCATGGTTATCCTGGGTGGCTAACACTACCTACCCAGGGTTATCCTGGGTGGCTAACACTACCTACCCAGGGTTATCCTGGGTGGCTAACACTACCTACCCTGGGTTATCCTGGGTGGCTAACACTACCTACCCTGGGTTATCCTGGGTGGCTAACACTCCCTACCCTAGGTTATCCTGGGTGGCTAACACTACCTACCCAGGGTTATCCTGGGTAGCTAACATACCTACCCAGGATTATACTGGGTAGCTAACACTACATACCCAGGATTATCCTGGGTAGCTAACACTACCTACCCAGGATTATCCTGGGTAGCTAACACTACCTACCCAGGATTATCCTGGGTAGCTAACACTGCCTACCCTGAGTTATCCTGGGTGGCTAACACTACCTACCCAGGGTTATCCTGGGTGGCTAACACTACCTACCCTAGGTTATCCTGGGTGGCTAACACTACCTACCCAGGGTTATCCTGGGTAGCTAACATACCTACCCAGGATTATACTGGGTAGCTAACACTACGTACCCAGGATTATCCTGGGTAGCTAACACTACCTACCCAGGATTATCCTGGGTAGCTAACACTACCTACCCAGGATTATCCTGGGTGGCTAACATTACCTACCCTGGGTTATCCTGGGTGGCTAACACTACCTACCCAGGGTTATCCTGGGTGGCTAACACTACCTACCCTGGGTTATCCTGGGTGGCTAACACTACCTACCCAGGGTTATCCTGGGTGGCTAACACTACCTACCCTGGGTTATCCTGGGTGGCTAACATTACCTACCCTGGGTTATCCTGGGTGGCTAACACTACCTACCCTGGGTTATCCTGGGTGGCTAACATTACCTACCCTGGGTTATCCTGGGTGGCTAACACTACCTACCCTGGGTTATCCTGGGTGGCTAACACTACCTACCCTGGGTTATCCTGGGTGGCTAACACTACCTACCCTGGGTTATCCTGGGTGGTTAACACTACCTACCCTGGGTTATCCTGGGTGGCTAACACTACCTACCCTGGGTTATCCTGGGTGGCTAACACTACCTACCCTGGGTTATCCTGGGTGGCTAACACTACCTACCCTGGGTTATCCTGGGTGGTTAACACTACCTACCCTGGGTTATCCTGGGTGGCTAACACTACCTACCCTGGGTTATCCTGGGTGGCTAACACTACCTACCCTGGGTTATCCTGGGTGGCTAACACTACCTACCCTGGGTTATCCTGGGTGGCTAACACTACCTACCCTGGGTTATCCTGGGTGGCTAACACTACCTACCCTGGGTTATCCTGGGTGGCTAACACTACCTACCCTGGGTTATCCTGGGTGGCTAACACTACCTACCCTGGGTTATCCTGGGTGGCTAACACTACCTGCCCTGGGTTATCCTGGGTGGCTAACACTACCTACCCTGGGTTATCCTGGGTGGCTAACACTACCTACCCTGGGTTATCCTGGGTGGCTAACACTACGTACCGTGGGTGGCTAACCCTCCGAGGTTAAAAATCCGAGCAAAGCCTTATCATAACAATGACAGCAAGTGTCTTAAGGAAACACGTATTCATGTTTCCAGCCGTACCGGGGATTGAACCACGGACATAAGTGTGTGAGCTGAGTGCGTTACCAACCCAGCTACGGTCGATTTTTATCAACCAGAAAAATGATGATTGCACTTACTGGTTCACCAAGAGATCAGGTCAACCCTAAGAGGGTCAGGTCAACCCCAGAGAATTGCTTGGTTATTGTTGTTGTTGTGGTATATAGGGCCACTGACGGCTTGTGTTGTATCGAGTCTTCCTGTATCCGGAACACAAACCTTCACCAAAGTGAAATGAAGTTGGCTAATTACTGCACTTATTATATGTCCCCAATGTTCTCTGAATATAGCAAGAAGGCGCAGGTATTGACCAGGATTATCCTGACACTTTGGAGGGCTTCTGGGGTCGATTTATCAGTCGTTGAGTTAATGTGTCTCTGAAGCCGATTAAACCTTATTGTTTGGTTATTGTGACCCTGAGGCCGAGTGAACCCTATTGTTGAGTTGTGGGTTATTGTGACCCCTTAGGCTAAGTGAACCTTATTATTAGGTTAATAATTATTGTGACCTTGAGGCCAAGTGAACCTTATTGTTAGGTTGAGGGTTACTTTGGCCGTAAGGCCGAGTGAACCCTAGTTGAGTTTTGAGTTTCAGAGGGCCTTTGAACCCTGTTGTTGGGCTTAAGGGCTAATTAAGACTGGTCTGAAGACTTTTGGTCCCAGACCAGGTTGTTCCTAGCCATACTTGGTCCTAAGCATGTACCACAGCCTGGTTGATCAGGAACTGACTTGAGGAATTTCTAGAGCTCCCTCTTGAAGATAGCCAGGAGTCTGTTGGTTAGCCCTATAATAATAATAATAATAATAATAATAATAATAATAATAATAATAATAATAATAATAATAATAATAATAATAATAATAATAATAATTATAATATTAATTATATTATTAATTTGATAGCCTTTATGTCTAAAAGTGCATGATACAACTTATACAGACCATAACACAGGTTAATCTTGTCCCCAGGATGCGACCCACACTAATCGGCTAACACCCAGGTACCTACTTACTGATAGGTGAATAGGAGCAGCAAGTGTAAGGATTCCACATGCCCAGTGCTTTTATCCGTGCCGGGAATCGAACCACGGTCACCCAGTGTGTGAGCTGAGTGCGCTACCAACCGAGCTACAAGACACCTTATGCATGATGGAAGTGTTTTTTTTTCTGAGTCTTGGGCTTCTTACACTTATTGTAATCTCTCTCGGTATATTCAAGTAACTCCTGCTTTTTCACTGGATGGAGGTGGCACTGTCTGCTTTCATAGGCAGTGATTTTTGTATGTGGCACCAGTTCCTCCAGGACTTTCCAGGTGTAACTTATGGTGTATCTTTCTCAAAATTTATGTCTTCTTGTTTGCGTGATTTCATGCATGGAAGGAGTTGGTATCATTGCATGAGCCATCTGTTTCATCCTGCACATTGTCAGCTCTTAAACTACCTTCCTAGGTTATTAAATCTGTCATTGATATAGCCAACAGACATGTAACAGACATGGACTTGCCAGAATGGACATAGGATGACTTGGCTACTGGATTAGTCTTGTGTGTTGTAAAGAATTTGTATTAGGGGTCCCACAAGGAGGTGTCCTCAGTCTCACTTTATTCAGTATTCTAATTAATGCTACGCCTGGCCAACCCAGTAGTTATGTGATAAGGTTTGCTAATATAATGATTCACACAGCGGGAATTTCTAACACCTCGGTACCTGGGGATGATACCCTTAGCTGAGGAACCATTCTTAAGCATGTACTAGTCTCGACTCAGTACCTGGGGATGATATCCTTAGCTGAGGAACCATTCTTAAGCATGTACTAGTCTCGACTCAATACCCGGTGGCCTGGTGGCTAAAGCTCCCGCTTCACACACGGAGGGCCCGGGTTCGATTCCCGGCGGGTGGAAACATTTCGACACGTTTCCTTACACCTGTTGTCCTGTTCACCTAGCAGCAAATAGGTACCTGGGTGTTAGTCGACTGGTGTGGGTCGCGTCCTGGGGGACAAGATTAAGGACCCCAATGGAAATAAGTTAGACAGTCCTCGATGACGCACTGACTTTCTTGGGTTATCCTGGGTGGCTAACCCTCCGGGGTTAAAAATCCGAACGAAATCTTATCTTATAACCTCAGCTGAGGAACCATTCTTAAGCATGTACTAGTCTCGACTCAGTACCTGGGGATGATATCCTCAGCTGAGGAACCATTCTTAAGCATGTAATGGCCTCGACTTTTGATTTGGGAGTTCTGTGGAACAGAGGATGTGGGAAGGTAGAGGAACTGTCTTAGTGAAGGAATCTGGTGCTTAATACTGTCCTTCTAGAGAAAGAATCTGGTGCTTAATACTGTCCTTCTAGTGAAGGACACCTCACTGTCCTTCAAGAAGACAGATCCCAACACATAGGAAGTCTTTCAGCTCCTCACCAAGACATCACAACCATCGGCTTGGTGATCATATCGTCAGCTGAAGACACCTCTCTCTGGAAATATAAACACAAATGCAGTATAATGTGATCCTTTATTGACAACGTTTCACCCACACAGTGGGCTTTTTCAAGTCACACACGGATCTACCTGGGGTTGGAAGGTACGAGAGTATTTATAGTCAGAATGTTGAGGTCAGGTGGAGAATGCTGCATCTGATGATCTACCGGGTGGGGTTATAGAGTCTTGGGTAGCTTGGCAGGGGTATTGGACAAGTTGCAGACCTTCTGCAGTGTTCTATGTTCTTATGTGGGATAGCGATGAAGAAGTTTCTTGGCGAGTGGTTCAGCTATGTTATAGAAGCCATTGTTCTGTATAGCCATGTGAATGTTGATAGGAGATTAATGGTTCCTCTTGCTGTCTGTGTGGAGCTGACAGGCACATCTCTCTCTGATTCGTAGTCATTGATGTGGTCAGACTGGTGAAGATAAGATTTTCTTCGGATTTTTAACCCCGGAGGGTTAGCCACCCAGGATAACCCAAGAAATCAGTGCGTCATCGAGGACTGTCTAACTTATTTCCATTGTGGTCCTCAATTTTGTCCCCCAGGATGCCAACCACACCAGCCACTAACACCCAGGTACCTATTTGCTGCTAGGTGAACAGGACAGCAGGTGTAATGAAACGCGTCGAAATGGTTCCACCCGCCGGGAATCGAACCCGGGCCCTCCGTGTGTGAAACGGGAGCTTTAGCCACCAGGCCACCAGGCCACTCCATGTCTTAGCTGGTCACCTTGTTAAAACTGACAGCTGAGTTAAGCTTAGTATAGGAACTGGGCAGTATTAAGCTGGGTAGGCTTACTGCAGTGTTCTTTCTTATGTCCTTGTGTTTAAACTAAGGCTTTTTGACACTACAGCTTACCTACCTGGAATTTACCTGAAGTGGGTTTCGGGGGTCAACGCCCCCTAGGGTCAACGCCTGCTCGTCCTTCACAGCCTTACTAGAAGTGATACAATCAACTGCTGGAATTACAATTTATTTCACTGTATATTTAGGCCTATCTAGGTCCACTAAACAGTGACTCATTGTTCATCGTTCACAGCCTTGACACCAGACATCACCAGTGAATCTGGTCTTCAGGTCACTTGTTCTATCTAGGCTGGAATATTGCTGCACACTAACAGCACATTTCAAGGCAGGTGAAATTGCTGACCTAGAAAATGTACAGAGAACCTTCACGGCGCGCATAACGGAGATAAAACACCTCAATTACTGGGAGCGCTTGAGGTTCCTGAACCTGTATTCCCTGGAACGCAGGCGGGAGAGATACATGATTATATACACCTGGAAAATCCTAGAGGGACTAGTACCAAATTTGCACAGGAAAATCACTCCTTATGAAAGCAGAAGACTCGGCAGACGATGCAACATCCCCCCAATGAAAAGCAGGGGTGTCACTAGCACGTTAAGAAACAACACAGTAAGTGTCAGGGCCCAAGACTGTTCAACTGCCTCCCAACATACATAAGGGGGTTTACCAATAGACCCCTGACTGTCTTCAAGCAGGCACTGGACAAGCACCTAAAGTCAGTACCTGACCAGCTGGGCTGTGGCTCGTAAGTCGGGTTACGTGAAGCTGAAAGTAACAGCCTGGTTGATCAGATCCTGATCCACCATGAAGCCTGGTCACAGACTGGGCTGCGGGGGCGTTGACCCCGAAACCCTCTTCAGGTAAACTCCAGGTGTGCAGACCAGTAAGCTTCCTGCTGCAGTGAATGCTGGTCTGAAGACCATTTAGGGAATCCTTAATGGTGAAACCTATCGCCTTCATGGCAGGCTTCTTCAGTCGAATACACAGGGGGAGTATAAAACTGGATGCAGTAGTTGTGAGGTAATCAGTCCCTCAGTCTTGGTGGGTGGTGGTCAGTGCTGGGAGCTTACTAGGATTGCTAGGAGCTTGCTAAAAAGTGCTGGGAGGTTACTAGAAGTGGTGGGAGCTTACTATGAGTGCTAGGAGCTTACTAGGAGTGCTAGGAGCTTACTATGAGTGCTAGGAGCTTACTAGGAGTGTTGGGAGCTTACTAGGAGTGCTAGGAGCTTACTAGGAGTGCTGGGAGCTTGCTAAAAAGTGCTGGGAGGTTACTAGGAGTGGTGGGAGCTTACTAGGAGTGCTAGGAGCTTACTAGGAGTGTTGGGAGCTACTAGGAGTGCTAGGAGCTTACTAGGAGTGCTGGGAGTTTGCTAAAAAGTGCTGGGAGGTTACTAGGAGTGGTGGGAGCTTACTAGGAGTGCTTGGAGCTTACTAGGAGTGCTGGGAGCTTACTAGAAGTATTGAGAGCTTACCAGGAGTGCTGAGAGATTACTAGGAGTGCTGGGAATTTGCTAGGAATAATGGGAGCTTGCTAGGAGTGCTAGAACGTTACTAGATGCTTTCTAGGAGTGCTAAAAGATTTCTGAGAGTGCTGAGGGTTTACTAAGGTTACTAGAAGCTTGCTAAAGCTTTCTAGGAGCTTGTTAGAAGTGTTAAGAGGTTCTCAGAAGTGCCTGGAGTTTACCTGGAGAGAGTTCCGGGGGTCAACGCCCCCGCGGCCCGGTCTGTGACTAGGCCTCCTGGAGGATCAGAGCCTGATCAACCAGCCTGTTACTGGTGGCTGCACGCAATCCAACGTACGAGCCACAGCCTGGCTGGTCAGGTACTGACTTTAGGTGCTTGTCCAGTGCCAGCTTGAAGACTGCCAGGGGTCTGTTGGTAATCCCCCTTATGTATGCTGGGAGGCAGTTGAACAGTCTCGGGCCCCTGACACTTATTGTGTTGTCTCTTAACGTGCTAGTGACACCCCTGCTTTTCATTGGGGGGATGTTGCATCGTCTGCCGAGTCTTTTGCTTTCATAAGGAGTGATTTTCCTGTGCAAGTTTGGTACTAGTCCCTCTAGGATTTTCCAGGTGTAAGATAAGATTTCGTTCGGATTTTTAACCCCGGAGGGTTAGCCACCCAGGATAACTCAAGAAAGTCAGTGCGTCATCGAGGACTGTCTAACTTATTTCCATTGGGGTCCTCAATCTTGTCCCCCAGGATGCCACCCACACCAGTCCACTAACACCCAGGTACCTACTTGCTGCTAGGTGAGCAGGTGTAAGGAAACGTGCACCCCGCCGGGAATCGAACCCGGGCCCTCCGTGTGTGAAGCGGGAGCTTTAGCCACGAGGCCACCGGGCCACCTAAGCCACCAGGCCACCGGGCCACCTAAGCCACCAGGCCACCGGGCCACCTAAGCCACCAGGCCACCGGGCCACGTAAGCCACCAGGCCACCGGACCACCTAAGCCACCAGGCCACCGGACCACCTAAGCCACCAGGCCACCGGGCCACGTAAGCCACCAGGCCACCGGGCCACGTAAGCCACCAGGCCATCGGGCCACCTATGTAATCATGTGTATATAATCATGTATCTCTCCCGCCTGCGTTCCAGGGAGTACAGGTTCAGGAACTTCAAGCGTTCCAGTAACTGAGGTGTTTTATCGCAGTTACGTAAAAGTGCTAGGAGCTTGGTAGAAGTGCTAGGAGTTTGCTAGGAGTGGTAGAAGTAATAGGAGTGGTAGAAGTGCTAGGAGTGGTAGCAGCGCAGTGCGCATCCCAGCAGACAAGTGAGCAACGCGTGTCAACTAAGATGAATGCGCTAGCAGTGTACTAGTAGGGCGGGTTGGTAGGATACTGTGCTAGGAGTCTGCTAACGCCTTCTTTGGAACCTGTTATCTGCGCAGTGCGTTAGTAGTGCTGGGTGTTAGAAGGCTGCTAGGAGCACTAGGTGCGCAGTGCGCATCATAGCAAACAAATAAGCATCTCGTTTCAGCCAAAATAAGTGCGATAGTAGTGCTGGGTGCTAGGAGGCTGCTAGCAGTGCTGGGAGCCTCCTAGGAACGTCCTAGGAGTCTGCTAGGTGCGCAATGCGCAGTGCGCATCTCGGCAGACAAGTGAACATCGTGTGTCAACAACCAAGATGGCGGCCAACAGGAAGATCGAGGAAGCTCTCTCTCATATCAGAGAGGCAGAAAAGAGGTATTTCTCTCACTCTTTTGCGTCTTTCTCTGCCTCTCTCCCTCCAGCAGTATCTGACGCAGCCGCTGCGTGACGCACGATGACGCAAATTTGTGCATAGTGACGCAAGAGGCGCTAGAAGAGGGGAGGTGGGCCGCCCGTCCCACTCGACGCCTTGTTTTGACGCAGAGATCTTGATCTGAGGAAATGGAGCTGGCTGTTTCGGCGTCAGGAAGTGTGGTAGTGTCTGACGCAGCCGCTGCGTGACGCACGACGACACAAGTTGACGCATAGTGACGCAAGAGGCGCTAGAAGAGGGGAGGTGGGCCGCCCGTCCCACTCGACGCCTTGTTTTGACGCAGGGATCTTGATCCGAGGAAATGGAGCTGGCTGTTTCGGCGTCAGGAAGTGTGGTAGTGTCTGACGCAGCCGCTGCGTGACGCAGGATGACGCAGAGAAGCAAATGACGCAAAAAGAGTGAGAAGAATAGTAGCCGCCTGAACACCTTGACAGTGTCATGTGTGGGTTGACAGTGTCATGTGTGGGTTGACAGTGTCGTATGTGGGTTGACAGTGTCATGTGTGGGTTGACAGTGTCGTATGTGGGTTGACAGTGTCATGTGTGGGTTGACAGTGTCGTATGTGGGTTGACAGTGTCATGTGTGGGTTGACAGTGTCGTATGTGGGTTGACAGTGTCATGTGTGGGTTGACAGTGTCGTATGTGGGTTGACAGTGTCATGTGTGGGTTGACAGTGTCGTATGTGGGTTGACAGTGTCATGTGTGGGTTGACAGTGTCGTATGTGGGTTGACAGTGTCATGTGTGGGTTGACAGTGTCGTATGTGGGTTGACAGTGTCGTATGTGGGTTGACAGTGTCATGTGTGGGTTGACAGTGTCGTATGTGGGTTGACAGTGTCATGTGTGGGTTGACAGTGTCGTATGTGGGTTGACAGTGTCATGTGTGGGTTGACAGTGTCGTATGTGGGTTGACAGTGTCGTATGTGGGTTGACAGTGTCATGTGTGGGTTGACAGTGTCGTATGTGGGTTGACAGTGTCATGTGTGGGTTGACAGTGTCGTATGTGGGTTGACAGTGTCATGTGTGGGTTGACAGTGTCGTATGTGGGTTGACAGTGTCATGTGTGGGTTGACAGTGTCGTATGTGGGTTGACAGTGTCGTATGTGGGTTGACAGTGTCGTATGTGGGTTGACAGTGTCATGTGTGGGTTGACAGTGCCATATGTGGGTTGACAGTGTCATGTGTGGGTTGACAGTGTCGTATGTGGGTTGACAGTGTCATGTGTGGGTTGACAGTGTCGTATGTGGGTTGACAGTGTCATGTGTGGGTTGACAGTGTCATGTGTGGGTTGACAGTGTCATGAGTGGGTTGACAGTGTCATGTGTGGGTTGACAGTGTCGTATGTGGGTTGACAGTGTCATGTGTGGGTTGAGTGTCATGTGTGGGTTGACAGTGTCATGTGTGGGTTGACAGTGTCATGTGTGGGTTGACAGTGTCATGTGTGGGTTGACAGTGTCGTGTGTGGGTTGACAGTGTCATGTGTGGGTTGACAGTGTCATGTGTGGGTTGGCAGTGTCATGTGTGGGTTGGCAGTGTCATGTGTGGGTTGACTATCATATGTGGATTGAAAGTGTGTGTGGGTTGACAGTGTCATGTGTGGGTTGACTGTCGTGTGTGGGTTGACAGTGTCATGTGTGGGTTGACAGTGTCATGTGTGGGTTGACAGTGTCATGTGTGGGTTGACAGTGTTGTGTGTGGGTTGACAGTGTCATGTGTGGGTTGACATTGTTGTGTGTGGGTTGACAGTGTCATGTGTGGGTTGACAGTGTCAAATGTGGGTTGACAGTGTTGTGTGTGGGTTGACAGTGCCATGTGTGGGTTGACAGTGTCATGTGTGGGTTGACAGTGTCATGTGTGGGTTGACAGTGTCATGTGTTTGTTGACAGTGTCATGTGGGTTGACAGTGTCATGTATGGGTTGACAGTGTCATGTGTGGGTTGACAGCATCATGTATGGGTTGACAGTGCCATGTGTGGGTTGACAGTGTCATGTGTGGGTTGACAGTGTCATGTGTGGGTTGACAGTGTCATGTGTGGGTTGACAGTGTCATGTGTGGGTTGACAGTGTCATGTGTGGGTTGACAGTGTTGTGTGTGGGTTGACAGTGTCATGTGTGGGTTGACAGTGTCATGTGTGGGTTGACAGTGTCATGTGAGGGTTGCCAGTGTTATGTGAGGGTTAACAGTGTCATGTGTGTGGGTTGACAGTGTCATGTGAGGGTTGACAGTGTCATGTGAGGGTTGCCAGTGTCATGTGAGGGTTAACAATGTCATGTGTGTGGGTTGACAGTGTCATGTGAGGGTTGACAGTGTTATGTGAGGGTTGACAGTGTCATGTGAGGGTCAACAATGTTATATGAGGGTTAACAATGTCATACGAGGGTTGACAGTGTCTTGTAAGGATTAACAGTGTCATGTGAGGGTTGCCAGTGTCATGTGTGGGTTGACAGTGTCATGTGTGGGTTGACAGTGTCATGTGAGGGTTTCCAGTGTCATTGTGAGGGTTGACAGTGTCTTGTGAGGATTAACAGTGTCATGTGAGGGTTGACAGTGTCATGTGAGGGTTGACAGTGTCTTGTGAGGATTAACAGCATCATGTGAGGGTTGCCAGTGTCATGTGAGGGTTGCCAGTGTCATGTGAGGGTTAACAATGTCAAGTGTTGTACCTGTCTGAGAGTGTGTCACACAGTGTTCATACACTGTTTATCTTCCTTTGCATAATTAAGGTTAAAAAATAAAAGGCCCTGAATGTAGCTTGTATACAGTTGGATGAATCTTATTGTGGCTAGCTGGTCCAGTGGCTAACGCGACGGTCTGGAGTTTTGAGACTCTCTGATCGCGGGTTATATCCCCGCCCATGGTATGGTTTGCTTCAGTTTACTTAGTTCAGTAATATTTTGTAATAAACAATGAGATGTGGGGTGGGTTGTCTTTGGTCGTTGTTAAGTCCATGAACCTTCAACCATTGTCTAGTATATACTGTTATTTGTATTACTGAAAATGCAAGGGAATTACTTCATTTTTTATTCAGAAATAGTCTGCACAAAGGAGAGAGGAGCTTACGACAATGTTTCGGTCCACTTGGACGATTTACAAAGTCACACTGACAGAAAAGAGTGAGAGAGCCAGTATATGTGGGCGAGGGGGACAAGGACGGGAGAAGAGGAAGTAGTAGTAGTGGTAAGGTTAGTAGTGGAAGTAGTAGCAGAAAAAATATTGGTAGTTGAGTGGTACAAGAGAGAGTCAGGGGGACTGAAGGGTGAAGAGAGGTAATGGTAATAGTAATAGTAAAAAAGGAGCACTGCAGGAGAGCTGAGGACTCACAAGGGTTAGGACCGAAAATGCAGAGGATGAAAACTGATTTACAGAACACATTTAGGCAGAAGAAATGAAAACAAAGAAAGAAAAGGAAAAAGTTGGAAAGAAGAGGTAGGAAGAGGAGGAGAAAGGATCAGGTTAAGTCACGAGTGTCCTGAGGTTTGGAGTGTTTGACAGTATGCAGGTTATTTGCATATTGTTCCAGTCACAGTATTATTTTTTTGTTCTTTATTTTTATTGTAATAAATTTATTGTATACTAAATGATTTGCTTGCAGTTAATTTTGCAAGAGTGAAATGGAGCTAACGACCCTTGGGTAGTTAACTGTATGAGAAGTCCTTCTTGATAGTCTGTGTCTAGTTCTTAAGGAACATTTAAGCCTGAAATGCATTACAGGTCCGCCATCACAAATCCGGCAATCAGTTATTTGGTTCCTTCAGTTATTCGGCACTAATTTCGGCTAGCATAATTTCAAATTTCCAGGGTCGCCACACCAACCTGCTGGTACTGTTTGGTGGCACTACTTGCTGCATAAGTCATTCTAATTTCTTTTTCTCCATTTATTGTTATAACCTGCTTACTTTTAGCCCTAGCCGTGGTTCCAATGAATAAAAGAAATACTTATCGTTGTGTAAAGCACCTACACAGTACATAGTCCATTAAAGATAAGGTGGCTTTGAAGCCACTGTCAGTTGCCATGAGCTCAGTCTCATGATGCAGGAGAATATGCTTTATTATTACGCTAATAAGGCAGGGGGTCCACTGTACGTATTCTCATTTTTTCGGTCTCATTTGATAGAATGGAAGATATATTACAGAAATAGATATGATTTTGATTGCTTTCAGGACGAAAAGTACATACAGTGTACCTTGAAATTGTACTCACAGTAGCGGAAATATTCTATTCTTTAGCGATGCTCAAGAGTAAACAAATGACGTCACCATCCAATAACTGTCTGCCTGCCAGTCCAAATTCCAATACGTAGGCAAGAATGGGTTGACATTATTTATACAATTATTACAATAATGCACTAGTCAGCATAACAGTAAATCTCCTATTTTTTGTATGCATAAAAATTCCAAATGATAAGCAAGAGTAATATGAGAGGGGCCTGGAGCCATGACTAACAAACAGAGAAAATGTTATTTTAGTGCCAGGAATGTCTGCATTCCTGGCACTAAAATAACATTATTTTGAAAATTTGCACCTTATTTTGAAATTGGCATCTGTTGAAATTTGTGTGAAATCGGCCAAATTGCCAATTGCCAATTGCGTACGTATAGAGAACCTAAGATATCCCAAAAAAGTCAAAGTGACTTATTACTAGTACCTGGCTTTGGCTTGCCATATATGATTTTTGGTAAATATTTTTTTTTTCTCAGTTGTGTGTTGGGCTATCATATTGAAACTTGGGCAATGTATGATGGAAAGATGCTTAACATATACCAAAAATAAAAAAGATGGATTATAAATAAGGGAGTTCACTTCTCAACCATTAGCTGTCTCTTTGCGGTATATTTTCGTATGGTTTTTATGGTTGTATTCTCGTTTTTTGGTCTCATTTGATAGAATGGAAGATATATTAAAGAAATAAACATAGCGAAATAAAATTAGCAAAATCAGATG